TTTTCTTTTCATTAAAATTCACAGCACATTGAAAAAAAGGATTTGGTATTGATAACCAAACGTTTGGTTGATATTTAAGCAACAAAATTTTTTTTTGTTGAATCAACAAAATTTTGGTTGTCCCAATCAAACTTTAGTTAGCGACAACAAAAATCCTTTTTTTCTAATTTTGATTGTGTCAAACAAATTTTGATTGAGACAATTAAAATTTTGTTTATTCAACAAAAAATTTTGGTTGCTTAAATACCAACCAAACGTTTGGTTGTCAATACGAAACCCTTTTTTCAATGCAAACTAAATTAAAATAAAATGTTGAAAATTGTAATTTTTTAGTTATTTTCGAACTTTGTAGCTTCAATACTTATTTAAAAATCAAAATTAAATATACATTTTAACGATACTAATATAGGAAAAAAAAGTTAAAAAAAAATAATTTTCAACATATTTTTTTTTAAATTATGTAAACGGTAAATTTTAATTAAAAGAAAAAACAACTGTCAGAGGTGAAAAAATCTGTTCTACCAGTTGAAGATGAAAAAAAATTTCAAATCTGACAAAAAATGCCAGTTACAGAAGGGTCTAAACATTTTTTAACTTTTTCATATTTTTTTTTGCTATTATCGTTTTTGCGTTAATAAATTCATATTATATGATTCATAGTCTGTTTTTTACCGTATATATACCTCTATACATTTATAAATATTATTTAAATACAATCTAATATTGTGGGTGTCAGGTGACGAAATAAAAAAAAAAAAAAAATACACATAGTGAAACCTAGGTCAACTTGTTCTAAGAAGATTATTCTCGGAAGCATGATGAAAAAATCTTCTCGCTCTCAATTAATTTATGCGAAAAAAATTTTTCTACCCGGAACAACAATAAGTTTCACTGGAACAGAGATACGTTTCAATAAAACAGGGAAAGTTTTCCTTATTTTAGAGAAACATATCGCTGTTACAGATAAATATTTTTTTTTATATTTTCGACTCTTAAACAATTTTTTTTCAATTTTTTTGGAAAAATTCACTAAAGTTATAAATTGTTAGAAAATATTTTTTTATTTATCCTCACTGTTAAAATAGCACTGTATCTATATCTATATATATATGTAAATAAAAGATAAATATAACGTTGCAATATATTAAACATCGTTATCACGATATTCCATTGCGATAAATAAATTCGATTCAAGAGTAAACAACTATCAATGCGTTTGGTTACTCGAATAAATTGTCACATCCGGACGGGAATGATTAACAATATCTAATCGCAATTCGATCTGTTATATAGTATGCACATTTCGTTACACATCAATTTTCATTTTTTTTTTCCATTTTTTTATAATTATTTATAGCTTTAATAACAATTGTGATTGATAATAGAATCACTTTAAATTATTCTTTTAAAAATAAAGAAAGAAAAAAAACAGTAGGATGTGCAATAAATATAAAATATAAAGTTGAAGTAAATTTTTGTAGGCGATTTGATTTATAATGGACTAATTGCGTGAAGCGTTTGCGTCATAAGTATAAGAAAGTCTATTCTTTCTCAGTTCCTTTTTCATTGTTTTTTTACGAGTTTTTTTAATTATTGTATTTCAAAAAATTAATTTTTTTTTTTGATAAAAAAATGTAATGGATTTGAAATTTAAATAAAAAAAAAAAAAAAAATGCTAGTTGCATAACTTGTGTTTATGTTTTTCTAAAAGATTTTAAAAAATCGCATCTTGGTATTTGTGTTTATCTTTTTTATTATGCACGTACTGTTAAATATAAAAAAAAATATATTTATTATCCAAAACTGGTACTAAGTTTCTTTTATGTTTTCTAAAAACGTGTCTGTATATGGTTACGCATAAACACGTTTCTTGAAACTTTTACACATATTAATAAATCAGTAAATGTATCTCGGGTGAAAAGCGTGGAAAATCTACATCAATTTTTAAACAAAATGTTGGTATCCTCTTTTAAAATTTTTAAAAGCCAGAATTTAAAAAAAATAAAATTTTTTTTTTCAAAAAAAAGGAATACTTTTCAGTAATTTGTTTTATATACTTAATTTTTTTTAATTTTTCTAAGAAAATCTTGTAAGATGTATTGCTTCTATATATATATATATAAGTTGATCGAATTTTCTGCTCTTTAAGCTGCTATTGGCTTGTGTGCTTCTTAAGTTCTTCAATGAACTTTTATTGGTAGTTGGATGAAAGATCCCTTGTGGCTATTATTTTAGTTTACGATCACTTTTGCGCCTGTTTGTGCAATTTTTATGTTACACCATGTCGCCAACTTTAAGAAACGCTGAAGCAGTAAAGTCTTAGAAAATTGGCTTTCGTTGAAATGTGTAAGTTACAAACTACTACTCGCACTTTTAACTTTAAAAATCCATCCATCGATTTTGTAATACAAAAAAAAATTCCAATTAATTAAATAAAAGCGAAAAATAAATATTTAAATAGATATTTAGATGCAAATAAGACCGTATAGCAAAAAAATGAAATTACACATTTTTCATGTCAAAATGAAAATCCCACCCTTTTTGAAAAACGTTTTATTCCATTTGGATTCTTTTTTACTGAGAAATTAAATTCTAAAAGTGAAAAATAAAAGTAATATGAATGCATGGAAAATAGCGAGTTTGAGATTAGATCGCGAGATTAAATTTTGACATATGGTGGCATTTGTTGGGTGTGGGTGAAATAGTGTCGGTGAATTTAGTTCTATATCCAAAACTAAAGAGAATGGAAGCATTATATTAAGCTTAATGGAAAGTCATTCTCTTGTAAATTATGTATAAAATAATTATTGAAAACAATAAAAAAAGATAATTACCATTAACGATATTTAATAAAGAAATAATAATTATATTACCCAACTCTGTAATTAACTTATTTAAAATCTAATTTAGAAACCCAGCGCTCTTTATCTAATCGGATTTCTATAGCCGCGCAATATAATTGTATCACTTAGAAGTTTTCAAACTTTAAAAGATCTTGTTGAAATTCATTTCCTTAATAATTATTATATGTACAATAAAAAAAAAAAAGTTTTACATTGTATATAAGAATTGCTTTTCCGTGAAATTAATAGAATTTTTTAAATTTACACAGGGAAATTAGTCTTTTTTTTGTAAATGCTTTTTTTCCTTTTCTTTTTTATAAACTTGTTTGTCCACTGGCTTTAATTACGTTATCTATACTTTTAAAGACTTTTTCTGTTTACCTGACAAGAACAAGTCTCTTAAACTTTTAGGTGTTGAACTGATCTTTTGATCCAAGAACTAAATCTTCTCTTGGATTCCAAGAATACTTCTCTCTTTGCTGTGTAGAAAATGTTGGATGTAAAACTTTCCAAAATGAAGAAGTTATTTAGATTCTTGAAATTGATGTTAAACTTAAAATTAGGTCCAATTTTTCTTTTGGTCAATTATTTTTTTACTATATATTATTTAAAAACCTAAGATTCGAGAAAATGAAATTTTAAAAACTTTGAAAAAAGAAAAATAATTGGAACGTTTATAAAATAAAAAAAAAAGCAGTAAATCATAATTTATAACCTTTTTTTTTGCAAACCTTGTTTAATTATGCAGCAACAAGTAGTTCTAGATAATGTCATTCTAAAAGAAAAAGAGTGAATGTTTTCTTTATCAAACAAGTTTCTTGTTTAACTTCCTATAAGCTATTTATCAATTACTGTTGATAATCCTGATTATGAAATACAAACAATTGCAAAAAGAAAAAAATAAATATTTAAAAATTATTCTTAAAATCTTTTCCCAATTTAAAAAAATAGGAACTTATTAGGAATTCAGTATGTGTTTAACTTGGTATAAGAATTTAAACTCTGGACATTCCGAATAGTACTCAAATGCCAAACAAATACTGCGAACCTTGGCTTCGATTTCGAACCTCATTTCTCATTCCACTTTAAGTTTGACGGCTCGTTGTAATATATATATATATATATATGGGAATTCATACATTCCAAAATAGTTTGGATTATTTAGAATATGTTAAGCAAAATCAAACAATGTATGGCTCTTCTGAAAGGACAATTTTTGCTCATACAAATGGCATTATGCTAATTTAATTCAAATTTTTATAGAAAATTCAGAATTTACTATCGAGTATAATCTTTTACAAATTTTCCGGTTTAATATTTTTAATATAAAAAATCTGAAATATTTTATAATATACAAATTTCTTCTTTTGTACACGGAAAAAAAAATTATTCTGGCAATCACAATTCCAATTCTAGCCACAGAAAATCAAAAGGCATTAAAATAAGCTGCAACGCTTTTTATTTTAATCCAATTTTGCTTATATTAATACCAAAATGGATTAAAATAAGCAAAATTGGATTAAAATAAGAAGCGTTGCAGCTTATTTTAATGCCTTTTAATTTTCTGTGAGAATAGACAAATTTTAAAAACTGTGCTGTATTTTTTTTCCGTGTAGAAGCAAAGAAAAAAATTTGTGAAACATGCAAATTTTTTTTTTTTACTTACACAATATGTGTGAGGTTGAAAATCATTGACGCTTATTATCCGCATGTTTATCTGAAACAAACGAAAAAGATTTAGTGAATTTTGAGTTAATACATTCATATTAGGTTTGAAATTTAAAAAAACCAAATAAAAATTTTTTGTTTCTACAGAAAAAAATATTAGATACTATTTGTAAAATGTAAACTATAATAGAGTTCGACGCCAATGCTAATACTGTCCAGTCGTCAATTTCTGGTTGAGTTGATTCTCTGCAAACAGCCAATTTGCACAATTACCCGGTTTTATCCCATTTTCTCCCTCTCTCTATATATATATATTGAAACACTTTATAAAAAATTGTGATCAAAAGAGAAAAATCAAAAGTTATTCATGCTTAAAATTATGAAATAAATATTAGTCTTTCGCATATATGAATTTTGAAAAAAAAAAAATTATATGAAGTCTTTTTATTCGCTCGATTAAATATATATAAATTTTTTTTTCTTTTACAGGAAGAAGGAAGACCAAAAAGTGAGGGGAAGAATTGTTTTTTTTTAGTGCAACAGAATTTACGACTTTTTAAAAGAGCTGTTGTGTCTAAAAAAAAAAAAAAAAAAAAGAAGTGTGCCTAACCGGACATATCGAACCAAGTTTATTAACGCGCTTTACACATTGAATCACATATAATGGGAGTTTGTTGAATGTGTACTACCTGGTCTTACAGTGTGCTATAATGTGAGTGGCCATAGCCACTGCTTCTCACAAATTGGACCCGACATCTCTTACACACTCTCACTCTCTCTCTCTTTCTCTCTCACAATGAGTGCATCTCGTGCAGCTGCATTTCTCGTTCTCTCCTGCTTCATTGGTAAGTTTCTTTTTTTTTTAAAATAAAAATTATTCTTTTCGCAGCTATAAATTATAATTTTGAAAAAAATGCCTATAATTAAAAATATCTAAAAAACAGTAAATTTTTAAAAATGTTAATTATTTTTTAAATAAATTTTAATTTTTTTTTCACCTGGGCAAGTATGTATTAAGGGAATATTTCAACTTCATTATTAACTGATTTCGTTACATTCATGATGAAAATTAGTTTATCAAACTTTAAATATCTGTCAGATATTCTGATACGAAACTTCTTAACTTTGACACTTTCCTCTGTTGTAGAGCGCCTATTAGCAAAATTTACTAAACTAAATCTGTGTTCAAACTATATTCGAAACTTCTATACATATTTAAAAGGAGAATATGCAAATTATATAAATATAAACATATTTCATTTTTTTTTTAAATAATAACGAGATTCGAATTAAATATAAATTTTAGAGAAAAATTACTAAAAATTTAGTAGAGAAATTTTCAATTTTTTTATAGTGTTTATGATTATTATTAATTATCATAATTATTATTACAATTTTCTTTCTTGAAAAATGTTCATTATTTTTCCATTTCATTTAAAATAAAAAAAAATAAAAAAAAAAAACAGTGAATTAAAAAAAAGTAAAATTTTTCTGCTCGCAGAAAATTTAATTGCACAAGTTACATGAATTTTAGTCAAAGAAGATTTTAACGACCTCTGTCAACTTTTATTCATTATTAAAGTTTAGCCAGTGGTGGTTTTTGAGTTCCCTACGATTCTTTTGCTTGGACACTTACATATATAATATGAAAATATATAGGTGAAATACCATAAATTTTTTTTTTTGAAATAAATAATAAATTAAGACAAATTAAAATAATTAATTTATAATTAATTAAATTAATAATAAATTAAATTTCAATTATTTAATTTAATTTTTTTTTTAACTATTTTATAAACAAATAAATAGTAATTTAGAATAAAAATAACATTTCATTCTATATTATTCAAATAAATATATAACTATTAAAATGTGAAAAAAAATTCAAATGAAACGAATAAATGTGCTCCCCTATCTGTATATATATATTAATTTGACACTTGACAAATTAAGTTAAGAAAGGTTAACTACGGTTCAAGTTCAACGGCAAATTGTGGACAAGAATTTTCAATTATCGACTTTTGATACAGTTTAAGGTTTCGTAAATTGGGTCTTAATTGTTAAAAGTATTTTTTGTAGCAATTACACATTAATTATTATTATTATTATTACTATTATTATTATTATTATTATTATTATTACTATTATTATTATTATTACTATTATTATTACTATTATTATAACAAATAATTAATAAATAAATAATTGGTTCATTTAAAGAAATATTTAAAAAAAATATATATTTTGGTAATATTTCCACTTGTTTTTCAAAACAAAATAAAAAAATAACACCATGAGAAAAAATTCTATCCTCGAGGGCATATCTCAAGAATATCAAAAAATGGAAAAATTTTTGTAAACTTTGAGAGAACGTAGAAAAGAGGTATTTGATCCTCTATCAAAAAGAGTGCCATGTACATTTCTGTTTTTTTTTTTTTTGTCAGAAAACTCCCGAATGAAAATAAAAATTCGAGATCGTATTTCTTTGATTTCACGCGAACGAAAATATTTTGTTCCAATTTGAACGTGACAAATTTTTCAATGGGCTTCTAATGAATTTTGAAAAAAAAAAAAATAAGAATTGCAGTATAATGACAAAAGAAATATCAAAAGCCAGATGCATTGTTCCTAAAATACGTACGAAGTAGACATATTTCCCTTCCCCTTCACTTTTCACCCAAACTTCTCACATTTCGCATGGTCTGCGAAACTTTCTTTTTACCAGAGTATAGGAAGAGAAAAGAGATTTGAAGAGTTACAACTAAGAAACATTGGACACTGCAGTGGTTAAAGATTGAGTTGTTGAAAAAAAACTTTTTTGATTTAGAGAAAAAATTGAAAAAAAAAGTTTACTAAAATGAAAGTAAAAAAAATACTTTTTTATTTATTTAATTAACCAAAAATCAATTTGGTTTTTATTTATTATTAGAATTTAATATTTTTTGCTTTACGATTTTTTTTTCTCTATATATAAATTGAAATACAATAAGCTTTACAAATTCAATTTTAGTGTCGAAAAAGATTTATTTTTCAGCAAATTAAGGTTTGTCTGCACATTGTTACTCCAAAGCTTATCGCATATAGTGAGAGTGATGTGTAATTGCAAATAGCTCGCAGGCTAGCACTTCAAACATTCCTATACATGGATTATTTGACGCCGAACTAGCCATTCCCATTGTGCAAATTGACATAAATGCACGGGAATATAGACATCACGTCAAATATATACTCATACAATCCTACAAATAATGCGCCTTTATTGTTTTCTTATTTTAATATATAATTATCCAACTAGATTTTTTTATTTGACAAATATTAAGAAAAGAAACTATATTAAAGAAAACTTTTTTTTTTAAACTAATATCTAAAAATCATAAAAAAGAAATTTTTCTCCCACATATAAAAAGAATTGACAATTTTTTTTTTTTTCGTTTCCCTTTTTTGAAAAACTCTAATAAAAACCGTAGAATCTTCTTTTCTCTCTCCCATGTGATTTTAATAAAAAAGTTGAACAAAAGTTTTTTTCATGATTAATGGGTCTTACACGTGGTTGGGTTATATTCGAACCCAAGTAATTCAACTATATATACATATATAACGGACGATGGTAAGTTCGCGATAAATTTTCTTCCTTTCACTCAATAAATATTAATTTTCCTTCTACTTCTTATTCAATTTTCTATACGATTCATAATGTTTTACTTTTATCGGAATATTAAATAATGTAATAAAAATTGTCTGAGAGGCATTAAAAATATAATTCAAAGCAATATATATATACTTGATTAGAATTTCCCAATAAATAGTATATTTATACAAGGGATTAATATGATTATATCATGCGAACAAGATCGATTTCCGCAATTAAAGCCTTTCATTAGATTTGTCCCATAGGTAAACACATATGGAGGTTAAACAAGGTAAACACTATCAGTGCGAGGGCTAATTGGTCTTTTGAAATGGACATAATTTCATTCTTCTATCTCTTGAATCTCTCTCTCTCTCTCGTATTCAATTCGAGTTTGACTCAATAGAATTTGGTTTCTCGTTTAGTGACTGCGAAAAGGGTTGAAACATTCATAAATGTAAACGAAAATTTAAAAAAAAAAATGTAAAAAAAATTAATTTCATGTTTCAAAATTTATTTTCAAGCCATAATCAATTTTAATCAAACCGAAGCTTAATTCTTTAAAATTGCAATTATTAAAATTCAGTTTTATTTGGTAAAAAAGTTTAAGGATTCAAATTTAGCTTTGGGTTAAATTGTTTCGGAATAATCGGAAAAGAATTTTTTTTTGCCATTGACATGAAAAAGTGTCTTTTTTGTGCCTGTTTTGGGCAGATAAAGTAGCACTTTTTAAGGCAGTTTGGGCTTCAGAATAATACTTCGATGGAACATCAAAACTTTTTTTTCTGTGAGAAGCATAAATTTTGTATTTATTTGTATTATAATTAATTATCTAATATTTCAAGTGTAGAAACAATTTTGTACTATTTTCTGTTTCGATATCAGTTAATACTATATAAAGTACCTAATTTATGAAGATTAAAGCACAAAATTTTCAAGTGAAAATAATTCTTCTTTTGTTTTAGAGAGAATTGTAATAATTTACTATTCACAGTTAAATTGAAGATATCAAATTGTTGAAATGGAACCGAAATCAATTTGATAAGTTGTGATAATACAATTTAGCCATTCTATAACAAAAAAGAGAAAAAAAACTATTGACTTTTCTTGGCTTCGTGCGAAAAGTATAAATTACAAGTCATTAAATTTATATGAGTTCTCGTAAAAAAAAAAAATAAATAAATAATGCAAAGCAAACAAAATAAAATTTTCCCAGTTCAATGAAGTTTGAATGTTTTAATTACTTTTTCTAATAGTCTTTCTCAATTGTTTTAATATACACGCAAAGTTTATGTATAAAAAAATAAAAGTTCTTTTTAATTAATGAAAATATTTTTAAAATAGATTAGAGTGAATTTTTTTTTTCGAAAATCCCCCCTTAATGAGCATAGTGTGGGGCATAATTAAAGTAATATCGAGAGGGATTCATCTTTCGTTACTTCTTCTTCTTCTTCTTCTTTTCAGTGAGGCTATTCTCCTTTCCCATTTTCCCGACAAACCTAAACGAGATCCAAGGTGGTGCTATTATCGCGAAGATCTTTAATGAAGCATTTGCAATGCAAAGTGCACATCATGTTTCCTTACTCTCTCTCTCTCTCTCTCTCTCGCTCTCTCTCGCTCTCTCTGCCTTTTCAAACCCTCTCTAATCTTAGATCTCTCTAGCTCTTTAGTTCCGCCTGTGACTTTTTTTCGCTATCTCAAAAATGAGAGCAGAAATAAAGAATAAATCGGCCCATTTAACTTTCTTCTACTTCAAAAGAAGCATCTCATTGGAACATGAAAATAAATTGATGAAATTCAATTTGTTTTATTATATAGAAATTTTAAATAAATATTTACAAATTATTTCGAAAAAAATTGAATGTAAAAAATAAAGGGGAGAAATAAATTTTCACAATTATATTGCATATATACTGTTATTAGGAAAAATATTGACAGAATGTCAAGAGAAAAATTGAATGAAAAAAAAAAAAAAGAAAACCAATATAAAATATCAAATTTTATATGTATGAGTGATACTTTCACGAGCAATTAAAAGTGGACGATATTGCAATTTTCATGCGGGAAAAGCAATTTGGTCCAGCTGCCATTTGACCGATTTCTATCGTTAGTAAAGAGAGAGAGAGAGAGAGTAGGGCTCAATGTTTCATGTAACTGCATTATTAATTGCAAAACAAAAGACGCGCAAATCGAGTTTACGTTATCCGTTCTGTAATG